GGGGGTGGGACCTGGCATCTGGGTCGGCCCCCGGGAGCTGAGCCCCCTCAGCGTTTTCCTGTTTACAGTTTTGGGAAACCACTCGTCCTTCTCGCGTAATGTGTGTTTTGAAGGAGAAGAAGGAGAAGGAGTAGAAGGAGGAGCAACACGCTCATCTGCTGTAAGTCAATAGCAGAGTAGAGTAGAGTAGAGGCGTTCCCAAAATAATCAACTGGTAAGCGGTAAGTTCCTGCGGGAGCCTTGGACTCGCGGTGAGCTGTTCAAATTCCCATGTTAACGTCGCACAATGTGCACGTCTCATGATTAATGTACGCCTCAGTTTGTAGGTGTACACAAATATGCGTACGACGGGCTACGTACGGAAGTACTGCGAAATCCAGCTGGTATGCTTTCCGTACAACAGGCACCCCAAACCCACCATTGCCCCGAAACCAAGAAACCCAGGGACGGCAACCTCCAACCAACCATTATGTACGGAAACTCGTGTGTATGTCACCCAGTCCCGCCCCGCGAACCCATCCAAACCCCCAGACCCACCGGTGATCACGGCATTCGATTCGTGCGCCGTACTTGAGCAGTACATCCAATACTGGGATGCTGCCACCGCGTACGGCAGCGAAGACGGGGTTGTCGCCGCCGTCTGCCACCAGCTCCAAAAGACCTGCGCCCCAAAACCAAAAACACAGACACACAGACAGACAGACAGACAGACAGACAGACACACGCACACGTGTGTCCACCGAGATCACAATTCGTCCAGGAGTGTGCCGTACGGGGTCCGTGGACCCACCGGGGGTGTCGTGGAACCGTACGGCATTTGGGATGTCGGGATCCACCGGTCCATTGAATCCCCCGAATGGCCGTACATTGGCCTACAAAGAAACCCCATTCCCCCATTTCCCCCAAGCCCCCCCAAAAACCCTAAAACCCTCCCCCCCCCCCCCCCGGTGTCCCCGCTCTCACCCCACGACGCCACACCAAGCATCCAGTCCACCAGGGCCCCATGTCCCGACCTGCACGACAGCCGCAGCAGCACCAGAGAGGCCGGGTCCCGGGCCGCCAGTGCCACACCGCGCTGCGACAGGGCCTGGGACCCGGTGTCGCCGGTGGGCGGCGGGAGGGGGAGTGGGAGGGGGAGTGGGCGGGGGAGTGGGCGGTCCACAAAATGAGCAAAAACAACACACAGATTGGGACACACAACCTAACGGGACAGGAAACAGAAATGCGTGTACGATGTACGGTACGGCATGGATAACCGCTTTCGTACGGTCGGTAAAAGTATCCGGGAGCTCTGACAGGGTGACCTCCAATGATTCCCAACCTCCCCGCCTCAACACCCCAGCCCCATAGAACAAAACCGGGCCCCTCCCGTCCCGGCCCTCAGAAAAAGAAAGACAAAACGGCATCACGGACGGGCTGTACGGCAATGTGATTATCACACCCACCTCCACCACTTCCAGGCTTCCCCCCAGACACGCGTGATGCAGCGGGCCGTAACCCTGATGGTCCGTCTGGGTCAACTCCAGGGAAGGCTGCAACGATAATAATAGCTGTACGGCTTGTACGGCACCTGCTGCTGCGGCATGCATTAGTGCCGTACGGCCTAGGCTATCAGCCCTGGCTGCGGAGACGCCATGGTTCTGGAGCAGGTACGACATGACGTTGGGTCGGTCCTACGGGCAACGGTAATGGAATACTTAATTAAGAATGGATATGACCCCAATGGGAATTGAAGGGAGTTCGACTGGGAAGGTAAGGACAGCAAGGGCAACTGCTTTTTTCCGATATCTTCAACTTCGGAGCTGCTGCGCAGATTTAGGCAGACCTGGACTAGGTGTGAATCTGATCTGGTCGTCAAGACGGTCACATGGAGTGCCGTACTGTACGGCTCGTACATGCTTGCGGCAAAACCAGTTTCCAGGCCAGGCATTCGTAATGTGTCCAACTGCCAACCGGCGGTGTACGACTGTGTACGAACTACCTTAAGCGCCAAATGCCCCTTTCACTCGTTTACCCCTCCCCTCCTCACACCACACACACGACCAACCTCTGGCCCCGAAACCAGCCCCCAAACGAAAGGACCTCACAAAGCTCACATTCGCGGCCGCCATCATGAAGCAGTCCCGGCCCTCGCGATCCAGAGCCCCCACCCCGGCGTCAGGACCGCCGTCAGCAGCTGTAGCCCCTGCAGCTGTAGCCCCGGCATCTGTAGCCCCGGCGGCTGTAGCCCCGGCGGCTGTAGCCCCGGCGGCTGTAGCCCCGGCGTCAGGACCGCCGTCAGCGGCTGTAGCCCCGGCGGCTGTAGCCCCGGCGGCTGTAGCCGCCTCCAGCAGCGCCCTCAGCGTATCCAGATGGCCGCCCTTGGCCGCCGCGTGCACCGCCACCTCCCCCGCCACCCGGGTGCGCTGACGTAGCAGGTAGGCCCGACCGTGGTTGCCCCCCTGCTTGCTGTTCAGGAGCTGCTGGCATATCTGTGCGAGGGGGGAGTAGGGGGCGGGGGAGAAGGGGGTAATCCCCACACGCCATACACCCGCCGGCACACGGCGCCGTACAACCCCCCCCAAGGACACTCCGTTCCCTCCTTTTTCAACTTCATAATGATTTTTGCCCATCGGCCAGACACATTCCGTACCAAACTCGTGCACCTCATCCCGTCCACATGCCGTACAAAAACAGCCTCAAAACACACACGCACACACGCACATGTGTGTGACCCCGGGCTGCAGCCGCCATGAGGGGAGTAGCTCCCACACGATCCCCCTCCGTAACGCTGCAACCCTCGTCCAACAGAAATGCCACGATGGCTTCATCTGGCGGGATTGACAGTTGGCAGTTGGCAGTTGGCGGTTGGAGGTTGGAGGTTACGTAGCTCAGTGGATGGGTACAGAATTCGGATATTGGTAAGATGGCAATGTGGGTGTGTGGCTTTGCTTTGATTTTGGTTGGGTGCGCATTGCGAAGCTGTGTGACAACGAAGGGAGAGTCCTGCAGACTGGCGGCGGCTCACCTCCAACCGCTGATGCAAGGCCCAGAGGTGTGGCACCGTAGCTTGTGTGGCGCTGCAGCAGGAGCGGTGTGCGCCTGACGAGCTGTCGTACTGCCTCGATGTCTTTCTGGCAGAGCAGAAATTAGGATTCCGAGGACAGAGTATCGAGGTCGACAATGCTTGCGAGCTTTGTGGTGGTCTTTTATCGACGAGGCGAGAGATTATGATAAATATGTCATGCGGAGAGAGATTTCAAAGTTGCAAGGATGGCAAAATTAGTCATGTTTGTTATCGTACGTTTCAGGTGGGTGCTTGCCCTAGTTCCATCGTGTGGACTTGGCATGGTCCCCCGCAATTTTAACACCAAATAATGTAGAGACTAAAACAATAGGGGGTCCTCCACATGTCCAAGACCGTGGTGCGTACCCGCACGATGGCAGCGAAGAGATGCTTCTTCAGCTTCCGCGACTCACGACGGGCAGCCTCCTGCTTTTCCAAATCGACGGCACGCTTTACTTCTTCTATTGATGCATGGAAACCCTTTGTGCGGTCCTCCGGCAAGTAGCTCCACTGGTTGGGTTCTGGCCATTTGGCGTTGGTGGGGTAAAACCTATCGGGCCAATCTCGTCCGACAACGTAGTAAGGCATTGCTGAACCGCTAGATAACTACAAGAACACGTCCATTCAGTGGCGCGAACTTGGCTGATATTATGGAGGGCTCCGTTTTGTACGTTACCAAGCCGTTTCTAGGAAAGGAATCCACGACATCAATTTTATAGGAATGTCAAGCCTTTCCAGTTGTGCATAAATGCCAGCTAGTGTATCGCATGGCCAGCGTAGCAAAGGTAACCACAGGCTTCGTTATTACAGTTGCTAGCCCTAGGAGACACAAAGCGCCTTGGCACAGCACAACATATGCTAATCAATTTATAAGGAACTGTTACTATTTGTAGATGATTCCACACAACAGGATGGTGGATTGGTAACGTACCAACGCAACTAGCCAGTACATCGCTTCCGGCCGACCCTGCCATGAAAAGCCTATCTCGCAACATGTTTTCGTTACTTAAATTTTATAGCGCTGGATCCGGCGGCAGCCGGATTTGCTCCGGCCTAGTGGCCCGCGCGCTGTGCGGCATCAGCACCAGTAGCGGCACCAGCACCACCGGCACCATCTCCAGCGCATCCCTTCCCAAGGACGACAGTTATGATGTCGTTATCGTCGGGGGCGGCATGGTGGGAGCCGCTGTGGCAGCACTGCTTGGTGAGCTGCTTTCAGCTCCGAAACGAGCATCTCCGCGTCCTCCCCCGGAGCAAATCGGCTCCGAAGTCCCCACCTTCCCATCCCGCCCTTGTAAACCCGCCTGCCCCCAATCCCTAACTGTCATCCTCCCCCCCCGGCAAAGGATTGTAACTCTTAAATTCGTTGTCGTGTCGTACCAATTTCCTCTCACCCACAGGAGCCAACCGCCTGACCTCACGGCTGCGCGTAGCCGTGCTGGATGTCAAGGTACGAGCGTACGACACGTACGTACGACAGACAGCGTCACAGACAGTGTCTCAAACCCCGAGATCTCCGAAGCCCCATGGACACGCAAACCCCCACGGGGGCAATCTGGACGATCCACACGCCCTCAAAACCCACACGCCCGCGATAACCCCGGGGCACCCCGGGCCCCTTCCAGCCCTGCACCCCTCGACCTCGACATCTTTGAAGTGACCGACACCTCTGCTGTGTGCCACGGAACACGTATGGCAAAGCAAGGTGTACCCCGCATACCTAGGTGTATACGCTCGACCAACGGCTAACCAGCAACGACCTGCAACTACCAGCAACTACCGCCAACTACCTCATCATTAATTTCCCGGAAGCCGGAGACGGGATTCCGGGATTTGCGACCGGGCCCTCCTCCTCCTCCTCCTCCCCTCCTCCCCGGATGGCAATATCTCCCTTGCACACCTCTTATTTATGATCTGGCAAAATTGCCTGAACGTTTCATTATCGGCCTCACTGTTCAACTGCTGCACCGTAACTCGCCGTACATTTGCCGTACTGCCGTACGCATACCTGCAGCCGCAGCCGACGCGCTTCAGTCCGCCTCCCGTGCCCGACATGCGCGTTAGCACCGTCACTCCGGCGAGCATCACGGTGCTGCGCAGCGCGGGCGCGTGGGAGCACATCGCCCCGCCCGCATCAGCGGCCTTCGCGCACATGCAGGTACGTGCGGTACGGCGCATGGGGGTATAAACGGAAATTTCCGTACGCAAAAGCCGTACATATGCAGACTAAATCCAAACGAGGCCAAAAGTTTTTGTACTGCCTGGGCACATCCTTCGCTTGGGTGTGAAAATGACTGACTGTCCTGACCCCGTGAGTCCCTAGTATAGCCCTTATTTCTCGATCCTCTTCTTGTCGGTTACATGTTGTACGGCGAGCCGTACAGGTGTGGGACTCGTCCAGCTCCGGCTACATCCGATGGGACTCAAGAGACACCGGCACGGAGTGGATGGGTATTGTGGCGGAAAACACGTTGCTGCAGGTAGGTAAGGCCGGACTGTGCCTCGTACATGCCTCGTACGGCTGTGCTATAAGTATGTATGTATGTATGTATGCATACGCATGTACGCCGCCTAGGCCTTGTATTCACACACACACACACACACACACACACCGCACACACACCCCTGGACCGCACGTGTTCCCGCGCCACACAAACACACGAATTCGCCAGTGGTTCGTCGTACCCCACCGCATCTCCCCGCACATGCACCTGCGCCTGTAACACACGACCTCTAGCACGGATGATCTGGATCTGGATCTGGATCCAGTCTGTCTTCTGGATTGTCTTGCCGTCAAGGCCCTCATCAACCCCTAAGTTCTTGCCAATCACGGCCAATCACGCCAAGCACCCACCACACAGGCAGCTCTGCTGGCCGCGGTGGAGCGCGGCGGCAGTCGGTCGGAGTTCATATGGCCGGCGGAGGTGCGGCAACTGCGACTGCCGCCGCCGGATGGCCGCATCCCGCAAGCACTGCAGCGGCCGGCGGCGGCGGTGGGCGCCGGCGGCGGTGCTGAAAGCAATGCCAGCAGTGGCGGCGGAGGTGGCCGCGGCAGCGGCCGCGACGCACGCGATGCACCACCACCGTCGCCGCCGCCGCCGCCGCCGCCACATCATCATCATCAGCAGCAGCAGCAGCAGCAGCACGGGCTGGCGGAAGTCGAGCTCGGTGACGGGCGAGTGCTAACGACCCGGCTGGTCGTCGCTGCCGACGGCGCCGCCAGCCGTGTACGGCAGATGGCGGGTCTGCGCACGTGGGGCCGGGGGTACGGCCAGCGAGGCCTCGTGGCGACCGTGTCCACGGCGGGTGTGTTTCGGTGTGGGAGGGTGGGAATTGGGCCGGGGAGGAGGGGACTGACCCCGGAGGGTCACCGCCAACCCCGTAGTCATCCTCGTGACTATGTGTTTTTTGTGTGTGTTTTGCCGCTGCTTTTCCCCCCTAAAACCCTGTCATACAGAGCCCTCCGCTACAGCCTGGCAGCGCTTTCTTCCCACGGGCCCGTTGGCGCTACTGCCGGTGCGGGCCGGCTACAGCAACATCGTGTGGAGCACAACCCCCGGGACGGCGGCGGCGCTGGAGGCCATGAGCCCGGGGGAGTTCGCCGCCGCTGTCAACAAGGTGTGGATGTGGGCATCGTGCGTTGAAGTTTGGGGGGAGGCAGTGCGTGTGTGTGTGTGTGAGTGTGTGTGTGAGTGTGTGTGTGTGCGTGTTTGTGCGTGTGTGTGTTGTGTTGGTAAACTACGTGGCAGTATCCTCCTCGTCCTCCTCGTCCTCCTCCTGCTAGGACGGGAAGGGGGTGGGGGTGGGGGTGGGGGAGAAGGAGGAGGAGGGGGTGCAAAGTTACATAACGATGATGGACAAGCTGCGACTACGGAACAGTGGGAGCAGTGGGGCCCCCCCCTGGCGTCAACGCACAGTCGCACCCCCTGTGCGCGCGCGTGTGTGTATGTGTGTTCGTCCGTAAGCATGTTCCTCTTTCAAAAAGCTTGACAGGGGGGAAACTGGAACGCATGATGGCGGGATCGCAATACCTCAGGAACAGCGTTAAAGCCCTAGTTCGCCCCTTGAGGACGTGTGTAGGGGACGACCCGCCGACTTTCTGACGCACAACTTTGCGATGAAGAGGCTCTCTATTCGTGGCTCAACCGTCATCCGTTTTCTCCGTTTCTACCTAACCGTCTTTCCCCCCCCCCCGCCCACATAAATTACATATCCACACATAAACACACATACATGCAGGCGCTACGCGACCCGCCCACACCCTCCAGCTCCGGAACCACGTTGACGACATCCTTGCTGGGCCCTATCACGGCCTCTCTGGAGCGTCTGGGACCACTTTTCGGTTCCTTAACTGCCCCTGGATCTGGATCTGATCTTGGATCCGGATCCAGCAGGTCGGACGACTTTCAGGATCCACCACTGGTTCTGGGCTGGGCTGGCGCCCCACCGCGCTCCTTTCCTCTGCAGCTGAAACAGGCCGGAAGGTACGGCAGGCTGGTTGCTCGTCTCCAGTTCGTTTCCCGAGATCACTTGATGCTGCTTTGTGGCGTTGGGGGGGGGAGGCCAATGACGGGATGAAAATTTCCGTGATTTCCATTCACAAAACGTACACCACCAATAACGTTGTGCGGACTTCCACAGTCAGTACATCGTCATCTCCCCCCCGTCCCCCTTCCCTCTTTGCGTTTGTACGGCATGTGCTGTGTGCAACCCAAACCCCCTCAGGTATACCCTCCCCCGGCTGGCGCTAGTGGGTGATGCGGCACATGCCGTACACCCTCTGGCGGGACAGGGCGTCAATCTTGGTTTCGGAGATGCACGCGTACTGGTGGAAGCGCTTGCGGCCGCCGTGGAGACGGGTACCGACCCAGGGGACGCTCGGATGCTGTACGAAGATTACGAGGTGCCGCGTCGGCGTGCCGTACTGACGATGACGGCGGCATTGGACGGAATCAAGCGCGCATTCGAGGTGAGGGAACTGACGCACAAATGGCTACTTTGCGGGATACGTTCGGGAATTTGGGGACAGGTTTTCTTGACGCCTCTGGTTGCCAGAGGCCTTTTTAGGTTTCGCAGCAGGCGTTGGGAAGCTGCGTTCTTTTTAAACTTTACAAACAAATCTCCCCAAACCAAAGTTTGTTTAGTTTTTCGGTTTTAGAGACTTAAGAGTTCAAAACACGACTGATGGGATGGCTGGACGATCGCTTTAGGATTTACATTACAGGTGGATTGTTTTTGCCGTAGCGCGTGATGGTTATATATTGAATTCATCATTCGAGTTTTCGCAGCCACTGTCCTTTTTTCTGTATATTGAGGTTCTTGCTCGTTGGCTTGGGACACGAAACCGTCTGCCGCTGGTGCCACGTCCGCCTTCTAGATGTTACGATAATGTGTATAGATACAGACAAAAAAATGAATGCTGTTTGACAGCAAACTCGTTGCCGTACCGCCGTACCGCCCGAGCACACCTACGGTCCCAATGGAGGAAGACCCGTTACCTGCTCCCAAGCCCGTTGGGCGACCAGCTAAAACCCGCACATCCCCACACGCCAATCCTAAAGCCGCCCGTCGTCCGTCGTCCGTCGTTCGTCAATCCATTGGCTCCATCTACTCGATCAATGCCGTACATGGGTGGTCAATCCCTAAAACCCGATTTTCCGAGCTACGGCACCCCATTCTCCCCCGCAGGTCCAAGCACCCGGGTTCGCGGCGTTGCGGGGTCTGGGGCTCAACCTGATCAACGCAGCAAGACCCGTTCGCAATAGCCTAATGCAATATGCCATGTTAGGCCAGGCGTGAGACCGTAGGAGCCTGGGAGGTGCGGCCTGCTGGGAGCTGTTAGACCGATTCTGCGCCTTGAAAACGTACGACATGTGGCTTGTAGTATTTTAGGCTGTACACGTTGGGCGAACATGAGGCTAGGGAAGTTCGTTTCGCGTGTTTTGTGTTGGACTAAAGTGTTAGGGAGGACAGGACAGAGCTGGAAGAGCGGCACAGCCTGGAAGGCAGAAAGGCATCAGCAGCGGCGGGCGGAAGGGCAAAGGGTGGGCGCAGGGATGCTTTTCGTTGAAGGTATCAAAAAAGATGGAAATTTAGGCCATCCCGAGTTTCGGGATGCGAGTGGCAAGCGGAGCGTGCAGCATGCTGCTCGCGCAAATCCGCGCGCAGTATCGGCGTCCTTGGAGGACATCCAACCTTTCAGAACCATAAGGTGGTGAAAGCTATATAACACATCATACTCGCTTTTACAGGCAGTTTAGGTTGTTTTGTTTATGGCCGGTTGAAGAAGTCAGGTTTACCAGCATTGCAATTACTCATACAACAGACCTGGGTTCGTCCATTATCTAGTCGGACATGTGAACGGCTCTCGTATTTTCGCGCATGCCGCTCGACTAGTACGGGATGTAATTTGTTGACGACTTTTTCATTTTTATAGGTGGACAAATTGTAATGGCACGAGGTTGCAAGATTTCACCAGCGTGCAATGCAAAAATACCGCATGCGAGGCGCTGATGGATGGATGGATGCGAGCTGTCGCAAGTACCGTCTGGTAGGCGAGCGCAAGAAACGAAGTACAATGCGATTATCCAGCTACCAGACAAAGCTAACACAAACTACGAATGGGCCGGTACCTGTAGCTTGCTATAAGGCAAAAAGAGAAGGAGCCGCAGTGTGTGCGCAGCCAAGCCGAAATGGTCGCATGGCATTATCACCGTGATAGTCACGCATTTGGTCAAGCAATTAATTTGCTTTTCCAAATTTCCTTTGAGTCCCGTTCGGTCCGCTCCAGAAGGACGGATAGACCGCCAAAACAGTCTTATGTCCTGTTTGGTCGCTTTTAGGGAGGGAGAAGGCGAGGCCGCCCGCCCAACGTTTTCCCTGTCGTTTCATACTCGCCGGTTTCAAGCGCGCGCGCCTGACTTCGCTTTCCTAGCACTTCATTCGTTTCCTAATTCGGCAGCTATGGTGTGTGAAAATTTCCTACTCTTAAGCGGAAATGATTACAATTGCCATAGCAGCACACTTTAAATCCCCTTAACCATATACACCTCTGCCACGTGCTACCTAAATGTGCGAGATTTCGCCAACCAACCAAACTTCCCTGGAAGCTCCAAAGCGTCCCAACGCTGTACGCTTGTTGGCTGTATGTACATGGCCTGGCTACGGAAAAAAGTTGTTGCTTATCGGGTCATATCAACTCGAAGCCCACCCTGTAAGAGCCGAAGTCTCTGCTTCGACAGTCTATGTTCCCATCTTCAGCGTTGTGACCTGCAAAGCAAACTACAAAAGATTTCGCGGGATGATGGGGAACGGGATCATGCACCTGCGCGGCCCATGCAAGGAAAGACCGGAGCCTCCGTCCTGGGGAAGGCGGGTTATCAGCTGGTTCTATCTGCACGGAGGGTTGCAGAGCGGTGTCCCATCCTCACATCCGGGGGGGAAGGTCGGGCACACATCCTGTCGGTTGGATACATCCTACACACACACACACACACACACATTTTCTATCCTGGAGCCTCACACCTCGCATATCCCCTCCCCTCCACCATCCTCATCCGTGGTGGGCTGGCATCGACCCTTCCAAATTTGCCGCCGTCCTGGGCGCTCTGCCGCCCTTACCCTGGGGGTGGTCCACATATCCATCCTACTCTTTCCTATCGGATATATCCTGTTTCCAACCCTCCACCGCATCCTGACCGCTCTCCAACCCTCCCGTCCGCATCATTGCGGTCCTCGCTGTACCTGCACTTGAAAGAATTCAAGAGATTCATAGTACCAGACGGACAGACAGACAGACGGGCAAAAGCGGGCAGGCAGAGGGGCACTCGCCGGTACCCCCTAGTGCAATAATACCTCGCGCCGTATTGCCCACATCACATGTGGCCACATCACATGTGCTCGGTGTATCGCACAGATCAACCTGGCAGCTCTACAGGCGCACAACCTCCCGACTGACCGCCCAGATTCGGACAGACAGACGGACGAATGTCAAACTCCCTGTCGTCCACTCTCTCCCCTTCCTACTTAAGACTCTTTTCCTTCCATCTCCTATCGGCCTGTAGCCTTGGCGGCGAGCTAGCTCAAAAGCTGTCTACAATGTCCCCCGCCATTCCCGAAGAACCCACATCACCTTACATCTTCCTTTGCCCCCTCTTCTCCCCTCCGTGAACCACCTGCGTCCCTTCACCGCCTGACACCTCCTCCCTCCCCCACCACCACGTGGACGCTGCAGGCCCGAGCCCCGAGCACTCGCACTTCAGCGACCCCAAAGATCTCAGCCCAAGCGCTATACTGTATCCCGCTTCCGCTTCCTTGCACTTCCGACCCTAGCAACAACTGCGGGTGTGCCTTTCCAACTCGCAGTAGTGGCGGCGGCACGTCGGGGAATGAAGCACGCGCCAGGAACACCACCAAGTGGCAGCAGCAGTCGCAGTAGGTCAGGTGTAACTCAATGGCCCGGCCCAACACGCCATCATCCCAAGAACCCTAGGGGTGCACACGCGCACACACATACATGTACATACACATACATACATACATACACGGCACAGGGCTCCACCCCGCACACGGTAAAAGGGAGCAGGCGCGGTAACTGGTCCGAAAGGAAACCGAGGAGACGAGTCCCGATAACTGTCACATGCACGACTGTCACATCCACACTGGCGCGCCACATACCCACGTTGCACCTGCCTGCCAGCACAGCCCTCCTCCTCCTTCCTGTTCGCAAGGCCCCGCCATCTGTCCTGCGCTATCTGTCTGCCTGTCTATCCAAAACGCGCTGATGCCAGCAAAATACGGGAAACCGAAAACCGTATAACTGAAAACTGTGCACCGAAACAAGCGACCCAAATCACGTGGCGCGCATCCTGAGTCGTGCACATGTGCAACTGTTGCCCAAACCTCAGTAGTTGTCATTTCCTGGGCAGCGACGCCTCACCGCATGCCGGACGAGGGGACCCCGCGGCAGCCGCCTGCTGATCCAAGTCACAAACACTGCAACATTGACAAACACGTAGTACAGACGTACATCCGTACAGACGTAAGAGGCAAAACACGCAAACACGCCGCGCTAAGGACCCCGCTCGCACGTTCCTAACTCGCGCCCCTCCGCCCCCCCGACGGCCGTTGCGCCCCCCTTTCTCTTTAGATTTAGCTAAGCTGCAGGCAACCAACCAGCAAAACCGCGTGACGAGCGAGCGAGCGCAGAGAAAACCACAGACACACATACATACATACATAAGCAGACATACCGGCACACCAGCGATGTTCTTCCATCCTAAACTGACCTGCACATCAATCGCACCTCGCGGTTCAGAACACCCGAACGTCCCTCTCCCTTGTTTGTGACCTTAGACCGACGTAACCCAATCTGTCTACCCAATCTGTTGAAACGTAGTATCCTGGGCGCTTCGGAGAACTCATTGAGGGGGAAGACGAACCACAGACGAGTGATGCTGATACCAGAGATAGACGATGCTGATACCAGAGGTAGGCCCCCATAAGGAGGAAACAACCATCCATCCATCCACCCACTTGCTGCGGACTACTTCGCGGCGCCCGCGCTCTTACACTCCACCACCCCTCCCTCTCTCGCTTGCCCCTCCCTCCTTCCCATTCGCGGAGATGCGCCCAGCAGCCCCAGCCCCAGCAGCAGCAGCCCCAGCAGCAACCCCCATGCCGCAACGCACAGCCAGCATGTGATGAACACGGCGCCATGATGCACACACACACACGCCATCTCAAAATCCAGCCGCCCAACAGCTACAGCAACGTAAGCAACACCAGCCCCAGCAGCTTCTAACCAGCAAGATAGCCTTTACAAAGTGAGAGAGGGGGGCCCCGCGGACGCCTCCTCACTGGACCCATCTCGTCATGACACAACAACCGCCGTACAAAGCACGAACAGAACAGGCAAGCTGGCAAAGAAGCGTGTTCACGAGAGACATGACACCGACAAACGCACACGGGGAGAGAAGATGTGACGGTTTGCCGCAATGTGACAAAAGGGCCAGCTTCGGCCCATCAGCACCAGCAAAAGAAGAACCACAAGGCCGCCGGGTACCTCCGTCGTCAACTCCATAACTCTCGACCCTTTCCCCCTTTTGTTTTCCAACAACACGGAGCCAGTCCATATTCACACACATGCCGCAAAAATGCCGCACACACGTCCAACCCGCAGTAACGTTGTGACACCACCACCATGACCACCACGACCATCATCAACAACAGCGACACGCGAACAACGGCACTGCAGTCCCGTCTTGCGCCCACGTACCCTACAGCGAGCAACCTGTCCGGGCCCCCTGAGCCCCAGCAGCCCCAGCAGCCCCAGCCGCCGCATCCACCACCAACTTTCCACCTAGCAGGCCTGCGCAATGGCATAGTCCCCGTTCCCCATGAAGCTGTCGGTATATCCGCGCCCAACATCCCTCACCCAAAAACAACCCTTGGCGTGCATCTTTTTGGATCTTGGGGATCATAACACCGAAACCTGGAGGCGTCCTGGGCAGCGACTGTGGTGGACCTCATCGCCGCCGCCGCCTCCTCCGTGCCCCAACGCCTCTTAAACGATATTTCCCGGCGGGGATCCGACCGTCATATTCACATTGGTATTTCTAGAGACGCTCGTCCCAGATGCCGTACTTCGTGACGTCAGCTCCCGTACACCTGCAGAGCCCGACACGTTGATGACGAGCGTCTTCTCCCCTGCTCCACCACTGGCCGCGCCCTCCACTGCCGCAGCCACCAGCGCCTGCGTCTCCGGGTTGACGGTCGGGCTCCTGCCGGGCGCTGGCGCTGACTTGGCAAACACAAAGAGGAATCCCGCCAACAGCCCCATGGCGATGGACAGTACATTTGTCGCGCTGGCAGGCTCCGCAAAGTACCACATGCCCGCTACCGCCACCACCACCTTATTCATGGAGCCTGTTAGACTGTAGATCGTAGCGGAAGTTCGGCTCATGCACCAGATACTCGCAAAGGAAACGCCAAAGCCTAGCAACGCACCCATAAGCACGACCAGGTTGAATTCCGGGTCGCGCAAAAGTGCGTAGTTTCGGAGCCGCGCCGGCTCGCCAAACGCAACGGAGAGCAGCATCAGCAGCGGAACCGACAGCACGTTGTTGTAGTAAACCATGCTGAGCTCGCTCAGCCGTCGTCTTGGCGTGTGCCCCGCCACGAGCACGTGGCCGTGCGAATGCGTGTGCGGATGAGGGTGCGAGTGCGGGTGCGGATGAGGGTGCGAGTGCCCCTCGCCCCCGCCGTGTCCAAGACGATGCCCGCCGGCGCCGGGGCCGGCGCCGCCGCTGCTGGCGGTGGCGGCGGCCGGAGAGCTCGATATGCTCCCGGATCCTGCCCCGCCGCCGCCTCCGCCGACGACGACACCACCACCGCCGCCGGTTCCGTGCGGATAGGGCCCGCCGTCGTATTGCGAGCTATTCGACGGGGTGCTGACGGCGCGTACGACGGAGGAGAGGTGCAAGCTGTATGCCGCTGTGAAGACGCAGTTCACCAGCTGCCAAGCATAGCCCGAGGGAGAGAAGGACAAGTCCGTCCAGCCCCCCATCGCAGCGGACAGAATCATCAGGCCCAGGCAGGCCCATACCTGCGTGTGTTGGTTATTAAAGGGCCACGACGTTTCGGTGAGGTGTGCTGGGGTATGGCGTGGAGTGGGGTTTGGCATGCACGGTGTTGTGGCGGGCGGGATCTTTTGAGCCCTGTATCGAGACCCCTCGGAGCATATAAACCTCGAGGGAATGGCGCACATGAATGGAATTGCGCCTTGTGGATGCCATGACGCGGACCTCTGGCCGAGAGGCTCCCCCGGCTCCTTCTTCCCCCCCTGCCACCCATTTTCCCCCCGCCCTTGCTGTTGCAGGTCCCAGGCTGCATCTTTCCATGCCGGGAATCATCCGTGCAGGCTTCCGCGCCCCGAAATTCCTCCTCCTCCACCTCCTCCACTTGGCCCTGCTGCAGCACAGACCGCACACAGCCCTGGGCGGCTTCCTCGTGTGGCAAAGCACCCGCACCGAGCTGGCCCGGCTGCAGGTATTACCTTAAACCGGCCGCTTAAACCCCCCAGCGCAGCAACCCGCCTGCCAGCACGTACCTGCCAGGAGTAGGTCTTATCGAAAAAGTACCAATCTCCCAAAATCGTCAAAAGGTTGGAGAGGTTTTTAAGGACCGTGAACATGCCCGCAGACACGGACATGAGCGCGTAGAAGCCTGGGGGGGAAGGGAGGGGGTTGTGTGTGTTTTGCGGTTGGGTTTTGCGGTTGACAATAGTTTTTCCAGACGGGAGGAAGGTGGCGGACGCGATAGAGCTAGGGATGTGAAGCCCTCGGTTTGGAAAGGGACATGTAGGCCGGTTTTGCATTGGGTGGAGATCCAGCGGCCACAGCAGGGACGACTGGCCTATGGCCGGGTTATGACCACATATGGCCGTAGGGGCCAGAACTCTTCCCGGCCCTAGCCACTTTCCTCGAATTGCACTCTGTCTCCCTCGTCCCATGAACGCTGTTGGATGCGTCCAACGGCAGGAGACGTACGAGTGAAACCCGGAACCGCGAGACGCTCACCTGAGGCATTCATCAGCACGAATATGACATTGACCGGAATCCACATCTTAATGACTTCCCATCGCATAGGCTCCAAGTGAAGAATGCCCACGAAGTCCAGTATCTTCAAAAGCAAAACAGCGATTCCAAACTGGACCGTCAGAAGAGCATTTGGCGCCGGAAATTGGTATGTTGAAAGTGCATGTTTATTGAATAGGATTGTTCCAGCAGAAACCAGACAGTAGACGGCTTCAGCTGCAAGGGCTGAAGAGGCTCCGGACTCCGTCCATGGCAGAGCCCCAAGAATGTTGCCCCTACTCTGCGTCATTTTTTTAATTCTCTGTCGGCAGTCCCTGCTAGAGATTGGCTGCGCCTATCCGCTCATCCATGGCCGCCCCAAGGCGCCCCCTCAAAAGAAGGCAAAATGATTGGAGGCTATGCTTCCTGTATCAATTGCTACAATTGTCACAGTGCAAGCTTTTCAATCCAATAAATGAGGGCGAGACTGTGATTTGAGCTGTGTGTCCATGGAGGGCGCCTAGCCACTGCTTGCAAAATATGCTGGTAATCATCACAACATCTTCTTGATTTTACTGGCAACCATAAGTTGTGGTAAACCGTTCAAACAAGCAAGAGTCAGACAGGAACAGGCTTCGGGTAAAAACACGGACGTGGTAAAGATAATTGATGTAAGTGTACCTTATCACTGCGTCCACGCCCCCTAGAATGGGTAGCTGGGCATTTCATTTGCCCTTTCGGCTTGCATGCGACTCGGTAACATGCCGTACGCCACTGATATTGTCGGACTGTTTCTGTCATTACCCGACGCTGCTGCCGAACAGGCTTTTAATATGGTTATCATTTTTTATGCCCATGGAGCTTAACAAGGCCGAGGAGGGTGTAGATTGGTTTCAGGGTTGCACCGGTCTCACGCTTGTGAGGAGCTCTCTGGGTCTTCCAAATTCATTTATTCTACAGCAATCCCTTCGAGGTTTGTTGCAGCATGGATACACGGTACGCTGGCCAACGACAGGCATTCGCTCCCTCACGCGGTAACACAGTCACATGCAACGACTAGTCACCTTGAAGGCAGGCCTGGCATGATAGCTGCATATGAAAAAGAACAAATGTCGAATGAATTCGTAAAGCGTGCCCCGCATGGCGGCTGCGGCGCCCTCCCCTTTCGACCACGCTCGTGGCGTACGTCTGGGTCGTGGAAGAAGAAATATCCCTATGCGGTTTCATCGCTTGCCAATCACACCCTGTGTCTTTTGAATGGAAGTCAAGGCGTCCTGTTCTCCTTTGCCTGGTTCATGCGGCCGAATTCAGGTGGTCCTGGTTACAGCAGAGCAATCCTTCGAACGGTACCAGTACGCACTGAAGAAAACGGTGAGATGGGCAGCTGGTATCTACGCTAACACTGCCTCATCTTTACCTAGCAACTCTCACACACCGAAGTCCTCAACCATGATCCGGATGCCCCAAAACCATGTACTCGCAACGCTAGGGTGCCAAGCGGTCCAGGCGTTCCTTATTTCCCGCCAAAACGCTTCTACCCCACATCATGTTTCCCCCGCATTTCCTAAAGCATCGGCAGGCAGGGGATTTACGTACCAGGAAAGAGAGCCGCAGCCGATCCGCTTCCTCGATGAACTCTCCAGGGGGGTTCCCGCCCATAGCCCTTATCCCCAGCTTTCACGAACGTCGCCCGCACTTGTGTGTGTGTGTGTGTGTGTGCGGAAAACATGTAATAACTCGCAGCTTTAAAGAGGAATCTTTATCTGGGCCAATCCAGGAAGAATAGGCCGCTCTTAGACTTTCGCCGTACAGGACGCTCCACACCACCTGTTGACATCCCAAGTCCCCCATCCTGATTTGCATCCGCGTCATCGTCGTATTCTGCTGCCCTGCCATCAGGGGCTGGCTCTCCAGCCGTACGAGCAATCCGGACACCTTGTCGTACTGGAGGCCCCCCTGGCGCCGCTGGGTGTTGCAGCTCGAGCAACGGACACTGGGCATGGGGCATCATCCCCCGCGCAAGGACCTCTGACAGCGGACCACTCAACTGAAAGAAGTAAAGGCAGCAGCAGCCATTGCGGAGGCAGCAGTAGCAGCAGCAGCAGCAGTAGCGCCTTGCAACAGCTGTACGGCGCCATACGCCAAGCGGTCGAGCGGGTGCTTCCACCGGCAGCAATGGCGCCGACTGGTGTGGCGGTCATCCTGGATTCCCTCACGGTACGGTGTGTGCTGTGCTATGCTATGCTGTGCTGCATCTGGAGGGCCGCTTCCTTGAACATGCTTCCTGTGAATTGTACCGTACAGTTAATTAAGACGTCGTATGATGGACGAGATCGCTCCATCTGTCACTGCTCCGTGGGGTTGGGCGCCTCCCGTGTCTTACTTGCTTTGGGTTGTGTGCCAGTGTCAAGGGATGGGCCTGGGGTGCCGAACTGCTGTCTGATTGTGTGTGTGTGCGTGTGTATGTGTGTGTATGTGTGTGTATGTGTGTGTATGTGTGTGTGTATGTATGTGTATGTATGTGTGTATGTATGTGTGTGTATGTATGTGTGTGTGTATGATGCTATGAGCTGTATGTGAAGGCCTGGCGCCTGGGCCGGGTCGTGCGCTTCCGTGGCCAAGGTACTTCACACCCTTAGATTGTCCACTTGCCATCATCTTTTGGCTGTGGACTGGGGAGGAACTGACTGACGTGAGGACTCTGGATGGGGCTCTTCACGGGGCGGCTGCTGCGGCGAATAGCTTGGGGATCTGTGCGGGGCGGGGGGGGCCCCCGCGGTGAAGTTCCGCCAGCCGGAGGCGCCAGCGGGCATGGTGACCGCACCACTGGGAGGAGGACGAGCGGGATGATTTTGGCAATGATGAAGATGATGAGATGATTTTGGCAACGATGATGATGAGGAGGATGAGGAGGAGGAGGAGGAGGAGGAGGAGGCGAGCGATGATAATGGTACAGCGGTGCAATCGCGCGAAGGGTGTACAGCTGGACAGAACTTTTGGTGCTGATGTCCTTGTGCCGCTTTTGCTGCCCCCAGGCGCTGGCATGCTTGCGCCAGAACAGCCAGGAATGGTCTGCTTTTCTCCACTACTGCTGTTCCGGCTGCGGCGGGGTGGCTCCTGAATTGCCTGCGTGCCCCAACTTGTCACGTCAGCAGCAGCAGCAGCAGCAGGTGGGGCAAAAGCCCGCAAGTCCCCTCATGGCCCGATCGGGGTGGGGCATGAGGAGGAGGCGATGTATGTGTTATTGCGCTTTGGGCATTGCACACAACCCGCATCCACCCGGGCCACATCGACCAGTATTTGATATTATCGACACGGCACAGCTCTACACATGTCGCACATGACCCGCACCCCCTGACGCTGGCCCGCCTTTTCCTCCTGCACAGATGCCGTACTGTGTCGTTGCGGGGGTGTACGACGACGTGCCCGACGACAGACCCTGGCTGAAATCCCTGGAGCACCGCGCAAACGTGCGGGGGCACCTCTTGGCGTGACGTGGCGTGACGTGGTGGTGTGGTCTTTGTGTGCACAGCGCCGCGTCGGCATCTTGGGTTAGCCATGGGTTGGGGGTTGAAGGTTCATAGTTTCTTCTTATTAAAGATATTTTCTATCCCGAAGTTTGAGCCAACCCCCTTAAGTTCATCCCTTTTTTGGTTCCATAAAACCCTGAAAACTGAGTTTTATAACGAGCTGAGTCTTATAAGAAGTCCCCGATTTGGATAAGTCCGCGCTGCGAGGAGCCCCAACCCCCAACCCCGGGAGCGGCTGCAGCAACACACCGGGGCGGAGCGGATCCGGTCGGGTGGCGGACGATGGCGCACCGCGGGGTTCAAACGAGGAATAAGGACAGTTTTGCCATTGCTGCTCTTGTTACTGGCCGCCTCCGGAACGAACTGCTTAGCTTATGCCAGATGGCAGACCGGCCCATGGCTTTATGGCCCAGAGGAGATGCCTTAGCTGGTGTGGTGTGGAGGGAAGACGCAAGGCCCTGTCCAGCTACTCTTATGCCAGCCTCATCAACTGCCCGCCGCCCACCGCAACCGCTCACCGCAACTGCACAGCAACTGTCCTGCAACTGCAACCGTTGCGTCAGTCAGGGCCGTTACTCCCTAAACCACCCGGTCCCGGCTCTGCTGAAACTCATCTCTTCTCTGCGGGGTTCTTTTTTTCTCGTTCTTGTTCCTGTCCCTTGTTGACAGATGGTGGTTTCTTTGGAGCCCCTACCAGGGCGCATTGCTGACGTGGACGGCCTGGTGAGTTGCAGTCCGTATACCATCATCCGTTAGCCCTGCTGTCCTCAACAAAATAAAATAATTATAAATAAACGTTACTTAAATTCGCCATCTTTGTACGGTAAACTTGTCTGATACGCACGTTATGAATGAAGCTGCACCCGCTCACAGCAGCCACGAGGCCGCCCGTAAGTCCCATCCGGGCTGCGAACGTCAACCATCCCGGGGTCGCTACCGCCCCAGGTAGCTTTAAGCAACCCGGGCTACAGAAGGCTACTAGCGGTTGTTATTACAAGCACAGGCACATGAGCCGTGCGCGCTAAGGCGATGATAGGTACCGCTGCTGCAGCCTTGGCTGCGTCTGTACACTTTTCAAAAGGATGGTTTCCGTTAATGCTATTTATTACAGTAGTTGCTGTTGTTGCTGCTGCACCTGAGCATGGCGGCTACTCGGAGTGAAAATGGCAGAAGTAGGTTGTGCACCACCTGGATTTTCCAAGGTGACATGGCACGGCCTCTGCAGAGGTTGACAGCATCTCGAACGCGGCGTCTTTCTACATCCACCCCCCTGCAGCTGCCCCCTGCAGCTGCCCCCTGCAGGGCCCTGGGTAAGGGGATCTCAACATGGGGGGAGATGGAAACGGGGGGGGACCACTGCCCATTAATACGTTAATAAACCCCCTTCCTGCCGAAAACCATATGTATATGTGTGGCTTCAGGTGACGATCACACGACGTTTCATGGTGGAGCCAAGCTCCCGGAGGTCTCCAACAGGTGGAAGCAGGCCGCCAGCCGAGACAGCAGCTGCAGCGGCAGGGCACACGGCAGACGACATGGCGTTTTGGGGACCTCCAGTCCAGTGGGGGGTCACCGCACCAGGCGCCTGGCGTAAGTCGTTGTACTTCAAATCTTCGGAGCTGTCGGTGAAGTGGGTGGATCGCATCACGACTAAGGAGCTGCTGTGATCACATATTAGTAGCCGTAGCTGCAATCGGCTGGCGCACACAAGCAACCTGCGTGCTTAAGCATGATGGTACGAACACACGACTTGCAAGCATTCTTGTGCATGCATTTCCTCGAACTCCTGTATGTGCTTCTGGGACTTTTTTTCCCTTGGCCTATATTAGAGAAGCTTTTTCACACACACACACACATACAAGGGCCCAAAGGACGGCCATCTCACGTGTGGGATTGCAGTACTTCAATGTGTTTCAGGTGTAGCGAGGGTGTGATGGATTCGGGAATTCTCCACTCTGTGTGTTCCGTAGACGTGTTACTGTGCTTCGTGCCACGTATGCGTCCGGATGACGCAAGAGTTTTGGTGGTCTGTGTAGCGATTCTGTCGCAATAGCATGGTTGTATGTACGTCGCGACGTACAGTCGATCGACTCCGTGTTTTTTGGCAAGGTTTTGCAGGAAGATGTGCAGTAAGGTCATTTTTTTCGAATCCTCGGGTGCCTCAAGGTCTGGCATCTTTTACGTCTTCCCAGCCGAGACCTACCATCCCCGCCCGTATCTCTCCGTCCTTAAGGGCTTTCGCATCCTTTCTTTGTTGATGCTCGACACGGGTCACCTAACGTTTCAACTGGATGGCACCGTCTCTCGGTTTAAAGTTTTTATTACCAATATATAATGCAACATGAAGGGATATACGCAAATGCAGGCTCCAAGGACGATTGCAGCACAAGCAAGACGATCGCAAACCAAGGCCTATGCTGCGGTCGTTCGTGGCCTTGGCCTTGGTTATTCATATGACTGGCAAAACATGTAATTAAAAGAGCAGCAACACAGACTCCATTGGCGGATGCGAAGCCTTCTAGAGCCAGAAGTCATACTTTCTTACCAGCATATTTATCGCCGCACGTGTTAAACAGGCAGTAGTCGCAGCGTAAAGAGCAATCAAGTGTAGCACAGCAGCAACAAGCAGCAGATGAAGAAGGAGGATAAGCGTGCAGAGACGTGTAGGCAAACGATAACACGTCACATTGCTATGCACAGCAAAGCGAGCCCTAGTGACCAACACTCCCCCTCTCCCCGCGTCTAAGGTGCGCTGCTCCTGACGCTGCACTTTTCACATGAGGCTGCGTAGTAGTACATATCGGCTGTGCGGAAAGCACGCATCTAGATGAGGCGGGTTGAAACTGCCCCGCATAATACACATCCTGCAACACGCTCTCCGTCCAAACATGGCAGCATGCTGGTCTGAAGATAAACAAACAAACAAACAAATGCAGCTTGCAGCTGTCGACAGGCGATCGTGGCTTGAAGTGGCCACGTGGCGACGGATTACCATGGTCGACCGGCTTTCCCAGGGGGCGGGGGGGCGCAATCTGCTGCTAAGAAATCGCCCCCGAGCACATTCCTGCCCAAAAGCCGCGGCCACTTAAGGCCTGGCCCCCGCATTCCAATTCCTACCTGGGGTGCACAACCTTCCGGCCTGCTAACAAAAAGCAGCTTTCGAACGCCCGCCAGGCAGCCACCCCCCCGTGATGTCCATAAACTCCAAAAACATCCTCAACGAGCTTAATGTGCTTAGTTGCCAACGACTTGCTGATTTGTATCATAGCGCCATCGTCATCGTCGTCACAATTGTCCCGTCATAAAAAAGCAATAAACGAGAAGAGGAACAGGTACAATCGGCCCGTCACATATCGGATGGTGACGATCTGTCGGTCGCTCCTGCAACCGTTTGATCGTTTCCAACACGCACCAACATCACAACAACACTCTTATAAACCCCACAACCATAAGCTCCGTTCCCCGCCTGCAACTCGTCTTTCGTATTATACAGGTCACCGTGCCACCATGCCGTTCATAACTCCACACACACACACATACACATACACCTATGCACACACACGCGCACATACCAATCCAATCCGTCACCCAATGCCCCCAAGCTTTCTTCAAGAGCCAAACCACACAACCTGCTCCCTGCCCCTGATGGGGAGCTTACCACTTAAACTTTCCAAACTTTCCAAAACCCTTGTGCTTCTTGTGCTTGCCATAGTAGCCATATCCCTTACCGCCCTTGAACTTGTGGCCCTTGTGCTTCATGTGGTGGCCGTACACGGCACCGTGGACCGCCATAGGTGGCGGGTGAGCAGGGTAGCCACCGTGGTATCCGTCTGCGCGGCAGCAGGGTCGTAACACAGCAGCAAGCGGCGGAAACTTGATCAAAAACCCATCTTCCCGCGCTTCTTCTTCTTCTTTACGGCCCTTACCCCGCATGTCTCCCCTCCTGCACGGACTTCTTTGCTGCCCCCATCCCGGTGTGGCTTCTGCCACCCAGGGCACGCAGCGTCTACACGGAAATATAACCCGGCAACTAACCAAGACGTGATGGATGAGGGCCAGCTGTTACACCCCAAAAAAAGGGTGCCAAGTGGAATGATGACGCGGGGGCACTTCCCCCAGGAAACAAAACCATCCTAGGTGGTCTAAGAGTGGATGGATGTGCTGTTTCGTGTTGCCATCGGGACCTACGTGGGGCCGGATAGGCTGCCGGGGGGTAGGCGCCATGAGGCGGCGGGTAGGCTCCCGGGGCCGGCGGGTAGCCCGCGGGGTGGGTTGGGTACCCGCCGGGGGCAGGGGGGTAGCCTGCTGTGGAGAAGGGAGTATCGGATAGGGAAGGATTGGGGAGATTATGGTGAGGGGGACAGGGAAGGATGGATGGCTGTGAGAAGGGAAAGGCTTATAACAGCGGCTGAGGGCGCACCTGGTGGTGGGTAGCCCGGGTGAGGGGGATATCCAGGCTGGGGAGGGTAGCCTGGCTGGGGCGGGTAGCCTGGTTGGGGTGGGTAGCCTGGCTGGGGGGGTGGGTAGCCTGCAGTATAAGGAGGTTGCACGATAAACATAATAGTGAATTTCTGGGCTGGTTGTGTGTCACGGCTTCTCCGGAATGGATTTTGGCGAAGGTGTGTCGCATGAATGATGTAAAGTAGACTGTGTAAATTATCGCAACGTTTCCTTACCGTAACCCGCGGGAGGTGGATACCCAGGAGGAGGAGGACCTGAGGGAACGGAAAGAGTGATCTGACGGTCAAATACGTTTCAAGCCCAGGACTCTGGCTACGCATTCCATGTCATACAAAGGTTGCTTGCAACAGGTCCTAAGTGCGCGTCAGTTGTTGCTACATTATAGCAACCACACAGGTTTCAACCTCGCAGCTTAAGCCGATTTAGAAGGTAAATGAAACAACAGCAACAGGTGAAGTGCCCTTCAACGATAAGCATGGCCATGACGCCCACAGCGATAATCACCGCGGCTGAAGCAACATCTTACCTCCTGGATAACCGGGAGGTGGATGCGACATAGCGGTACTTTGTGTTCCCCTTCGCCTGGCTAGGTCCCGGTCTTCACGAAAAGGAATACGCGACCCAAATTTGGCCTACTCACAGGCTGACCTACTCTCAGTAAATTTACAACCGTAAACAACACTCGGTCATCTTTATTGTTTGCATAAGCCTTTTAGCATTCATGCGGAGTACGATGTCGGTTAGGAGCTGACAGCAGCCTCTCAGCTGAAGGGGGAGCGGCTTCATGTGTACTGGCATCGAGGGCTCACACATTATCCCATAATTCATCTACCTCGCTGGCAGAAGGAGCCAGGAGCGTAGGTGCGCGTCCGCGTAGAGTATGTTGGAAACTCAAGGATTCGTGCTCGTGGCGCATCGTGGAAACAGTGCATGTGCCCCGGAGAACACACTTGCGTCTTTCGATTCCGCCCTTGATGCCGGGTTCCCCCATTTCGAGACGGTGAGGGAGCCATACCTAATTCGCTTCATAGCAATTGGACCTTGGATGCGAGCGCCAATTCCATGCCTCGAACACAATGATTACCGCTTCATGAAAACAATACTTTGGATCCAAAACTCCTCCCGCTGCTGGCTTCACGGTCGTTCGGTTTGCGACAACGCGCAAAACTCCTCGGAAACAGCACGGAATCCTGGAAAGCCTGCGCGCCCCGCCATCCTTCGTTTTTTATCAACCAAGACCAGCCCCCATCGCAACCATCTTTAAAGACCCCGAACTTCCGCCGACACCGTACAACCTCGCAACCCGCCCAGGACTGCCAGCTGACCGCGGACGGCATCGTTGTCATACTTCATGACGAGCAGCTAGGCCGTACGACGCCAGGGGCTCGGGGTGCAGTGGCCGAGGCCGCCTGGGGGGAGCTGCACCAGCTGGATGCAGGCAGCTGGTTCGGTCCGGCGTTCGCCCGGGCGCGGATACCCCTGCTGTCGGAGGTCCTTCAGCGCTACCGCGGCCGCGCACATGTACACCTCGTGAGCTAATTTGAAGGAAAAACGGAAAAAAGCAAAAACATTGAACAATAAAGGAAGGAAGGAAGGAAGGAGAATGAAAGAACCTAGGTAGGCAGAGGCACAGCGACATGCATTGGCAACAGCAGTTGCAGCAGCAGCAGCAGCAGCAACAGGAGCAATAGCAGCACACATGCTTGACGGCGGTCTCTCTACAACGTTTTCGTTCTCGCCCAATCCAGCCTGGGCATTATTAAAAATCTCTTGCGTAAATTACAGCTAGGCTCAAAAGCGACACGCCCACATACGATATGCGCGACCTTCCTTTTCGGCGGTCGTTCCCGTTGGGGTACGGTTAGGTGACCCTGGCCAGTGCCAGGCCTGGATCGATATGCAACGCATAATATGAACATACATACATACACACAAGGCGCCTGATTCCCGGCTGACTTCTCCGCTGACATCCGCCTGTGGTTTGTCTAAAACCTTTCTCCTTGCGGCGAAGTCACTAATACACACACACACACACAGACATGCACACGTGCACACCCGCATGCACATACAACGTAGCTACTCCGCAGATCCCTTCGCCAGTACCGGCATAGCGGCTGCTGCTGATCATCATGGACCCGCCCCTCAAGCATCTTCTCGATCACCCCACAACCGACCCACTCACCAACTCGCCAATCGCCCCCGGAGGAAGCACACCATCCATGATGGAGGACCTCCCAGCACGCACTCCACCCACCCTTAGAATAGTTAAATGGGTAAATCGAAATGAAACCGGTGCATCCTCTCCTGCTACGTCACCCGCAACCCCCAAGGAGCTCAAGAGCACACAACCCGAACTGCCGGCTGCAGTAGCCAGGGAAGTCTCTCTTGCGGGCTGGTGGGTGCCGGGGGCAGCGCCACTACTACCTGACTTGCCGGCGGCAGAGGCAGCGGCGGCAGCGGCACCGGCACCGGCACCGGCACTACAGCCGCCGCTACCGCCGGCGGGCTTCACGGCGCCGGCACTGATACTCCAGCAGCAGCTGCATGAGCGAGACTTTGGTGTTCCCGGGTTGACCATCACATCGTTTCATTTGGGTCAACTTCGTCGCTCGTTGCAGGTGCGATGATAATTTCGAACTTCAGAACAGATCAGAACTTCACAACAGACGGCGATGGAAGGTAGCGGTGCCCCGCCCCGCCGCCGTCGGTCGCTCCCACGCCAAAAGGATTGCGTTGTGTTGTTACTTGACGGCTTTCATGACGTGCTATATCCTATGTGCTGTGCTGTGTGCTTTGAGTTGTGTGCTGTGTGCTTGCCGATTTGCTGTACTTGGACTGAATGCCGTCACCCTATTCACGTGTAGGGGGCCACGGGTTCACAACCCGTGCTCCTCCTCCTTATTAGACACATGTACTCAGCAGCATTGTGCGACTGCCCTGCCATGCCTCGTTCTGTTCCGCCGTGCCCTGCCCCACACGGCCCCAAGCACGGCTACAGATGTTACCGGAAGTGGTGCACGGCTGGCTGGTGCATGAACTGACCGATGAAGTAATTCAGGTGGGTGTGCAGTGGTAGGGGTGAGGTAGGGTGTGCAGGGGTAGGGGTGAGGTAGGGTGTGCAGGGGTAGGGGTGAGGTAGGGTGTGCAGGGGTAGGGGTGAGCTAGGGTGTGCAGGGGTAGGGGTGAGGTAGGGTGTGCAGGGGTAGGGGTGAGGTAGGGTGTGTAGGAAAGACGAGCGAGAGGGGCCCCACGCGACCCCATGGTGCGAGTGCGGAGGGGAGGAGGTGGGGCTTAGGGGCTGGTACGTACTAGGGATTCGGGGCTCGTACTTACTGCCTCACTATTCGATGACCACGGTACGGCGTTTGTTGTCAATCAAAGTTTCGTGGCCTTAGTGCCCGTTGCGGTTTTTATGTTTTCATGGTTGTTGTGGTGGATTTGCTTCTCTGCCTTGCTATCTCGATGCTGCTACTCCTGCTACTGCGACCCCGGCTGCTGCTGCAATCCTGCTACTGCCGCCTCCGTGGCGTTGTAGGAGGCTCTGGCTGTGGGATGTCGG